AACAACAACAACAACAACAGTTGCTATCAAGCTAATTCCAGCCCATGGAGTCACTGGGTGGTGTAAATGGGTAATATACTCACCAAAAGATTGGTGGTTGTAATCTACCTAAAGACACCTTGGAAGAAAGACTTGGCAATTTAAGAAAAATCAGCAATAGAAAACTCCATGGAACACAGTTACAGCTTCACACATCCTGAGTTGAGATAGTTCCTTAGGGCTCCCTTAGCCAATTTGAGGGCCACAGGGATGGTCCTCTTCTCTCTGGTATCCATCACATTAATCAAGGGTCACCTGGGAATATCCGGGTCTAAGCTAGACCCCAAAAAGCTGAAGCAGAGAATGGGGTACATCGTTACAAGTCTGGGAGTTCCTTCAGCTTAGGTACCAGGAGTTCTGGTGGCACAGTGAGTTCCGTGTTGCACTGCCAAACAGCTCAATGTGTTGGATCCACCAGCTTTTCTGTGGGAGAAAGGTGGGCAGCATTCTCCTGCAAAGATCTGCAGCCTTGGAGACCCTATGACGAGTTGCCATGAGTTGGAATCGACCTGGTAGCACCGGGTTTAGACAATTGCCAGTTTAAAGGAAAGGGCCCTGCTCAGGTCTCTCTCTGGGCAGCTCCACGTGTGTTCAAAGGCACCAGGGATCAGGCTGCACTGGGGCACATCTCTGTGCCTGCCATGTTGGCATGGTGGACAATGGAGCAGCCGGCATCCTCATTCTCTCCTAAATAAACGTCCCGCATACCATCTCTGGCAATCATAGGATTTCCATTAACAACCTCTTCTTATCTTTCTTCTTGAAAAATCCATCTGCCTTGCACTTGGAGAACTACATTTACTCTGTTGCCTACTATACTTCTTAAAAGTTAAATATATTTTTGAAAACAACATCTTTGATGTCAACCTTCTTCTCTGAAGAAGGCAGAAAAAAAAATGGGTTCCATATGTTATTTGACTGAAGGATTTCAAGTCATAACCAGTGGAATGTGATTCAGGGTCTTAGAATACCACAACTTAGAAGAGGTGTCAGGTGTCTCCCTGGACCTCAGCCTCCTCAAGTTTAAAGTGGCAGGGTTAGCACAGATATCTCTGAGTTCTTGTTGCTCTCTTTTTTCCTGTGTTTACATTTTCTTCATAAATGTTCACACCCCAAACTTTCCCTAACTGCTACTAATCTAGACTATAGCTATAGCTACATCAGATGTCTACATCTGTATCTATCTGTTCCTTAAGAAAGCAAACATTACAGAAAGCACATAAAGGGAAATGTGAGAATCATCCTACTTCATTCTCTTCCCCAGACATAACCTGGGGCAGTACAGGTGTGTAGATTCTCGCTTGTGTACATACAGAAACACTGTGCATGTGTACCATTGTTTAATCAACAAAAAGTAGGATTATGCATATGCATACTTTGATGAACCTTTTTTTCACTTAATAATCTATGTGAACAAGTTCTCATTGTACTTTAAAAAAGTTGAGCAGAGGTGCAGGGACACACTGTTCTGCCCCTCTCCTGCTGCTCCATTGTCTCCCAGTGGTGAACATTGGCCTGTAATCCTGTTTTATGATTAACAGACGGGCAACAATCGGCTGATGTGGTACAGACCTTTAATCCTTCTGTAGAAGTTTAACTTCTTGTAAATGGTATTAGTTCAACTTGACCTTTCCTCTGTTATTCTGATTGAGTCAGCACAACCAGACAGACTGAAAAATAGCAAGGTAGCGAATAGAAACATAAAGATCTTTTAGGTAATTATTTTTTTTTTAAATTTGAAAAAGTCATACTTTCCACGTTCTTAGCACTTTCCAAAGCACCTTCACATTTGCTATGCAATTCAACAGATATATTTACAACAATCATGAGCCAAATGCTCATGGTTTCATTGGATTGATCCACTTTGCGAACAGATATCTGGAGTAGATATCACCACCATCTAACCCACAGTAAACTAAGGGCAAGTTATCTAACTCATCCAGAGAACCAGGTAAGGTGAGGTGAAGGCAGGTTCATGAACCCAGGTCTTCCTTATTGACTAACAACAAACTTCTGAGGAACATTAAGTCATATGTTTATGACGATAATGACAGTGATGTAGAGACAAAGCTCTACAATTTAAGATGCTATGTGGGTGTCATTAAGGATACTAAGATTTCTGCCAAAATCTCTCTTAGAAGAGAATACAGTTCCTTAGGGAACTGTATTATGCCTTATTAACTACATGTCCTTAGACAAAAATTTAAACTCTTATTAGGTGCTGTGAGGTCAACTATGACCCTTGAACTAGTGACTCTATGAACAACAAATCTAAACTTTGTCTTATCTTTCCTTATCTCTTACGTGGGAGGGAGATAAACAAGTCCAACCACCTTCTGGAATTATTATGAACAATAAATTATATGATGGATGTAAAGCAATTAGCAGATTTCATGGCAATAATTTATACTTTGTTGTTATTATTATTTAGCTCTTCCTCTACTTTGGTTTCTTTAAAGGGAAGTCTTTATTGTTTGTTAATTGTCAACTCCTTTGTGCAAACAGATAAACTGAAAGACAAAATTAGCACCTTGGCCTAATTGAACCTTAATTGGCCTTGGCCTGAAGGCTGTTATCCCTAAGTTGACTGTTATTAGAATGGATTTGGAGATCTGATACAGAGTCAAAAGGCCCCATGCTGTATTCACATTGCTACTGAGCTGGTTCTAACTCACACTATTCTGTATGGAAGGAGATTGCCCATCTTCTCTCATGGAGTGTTTGGTGGATTCGAATAGATTTCTTCAACCAGCAACCTGATACCACGATACCAGCAGGGCTTCTTCGCCTACAGGATTCAGAACAAATATTTAAAACAGGACAAATACTACCACCTGCAGGTAGAGTACAGACAACCATGGAAGATTGCCTGCCCACTCTCCTGCCCTAATGCCCAATGACACTCTTGAGGCTGAGTTTTTTTTTTTAGTGTGTGTGTGTGTGTGTGTGTGTGTGTGTACTGTCAAATAGGATCTGACTGGCACAGGAGGAGATTGCCCCTGCTTCTCCAGTGGAGCATCTGGTGGATTTGAACTGTGTGCCTCCGGGATTGCAGTGCAGCTTCTTGCCACGAGGCCACCAGAGCTTCCTAAAGGCTGTGTTCTTATGTGTTAAGAACCACTGTCATAGTGGATCACATAAGATTATCAATTATATCTTCTCATTAATGACTCCAGTAGCCATCGACTAAGTACTAAGTACCCTCAGATACTAAGTACCCACCTTGAAAGGATTCAGAAAATGTGAAGAAAGGATTTGAAATGAAGGGGTAGATTTTGCCTTATTCTAGCTTGGACCATAGGCAAGTCAATGAATTTCTCTAAGTCTTAGCTTGTGTCTAAGTTATTGATAATATAACCTGCCTAACTAGGTTTCCAAGTGGGTCAAATGATAGCTTGATTGTCACTGGGCTTCTTGGAAGTACTGCAAATATGTACACGAGTAATTGGAAAGAGGTGGTGAGAAGCGGCCATGGGGCTACGCAAGATGGTCTTCACTACACGTTTTCCCTTGATAACCCAACCTGTATAATATTCTTTCTTTCCAACATCTAAAGTGAAAGCTCTCTAAGCTAGTGGTTTTTTTTAAATACTAAGCCAAAGACCTACAAGCCAGTATTTTTCATACTAAGTCAAAGTGGCCAGGTCATCAGGGTCAATGATCTCATTCAGAAAGGACCCTGCTCAGGAGATTTGAGCCTTGTGGAAGCGACATAGCTGTGAAGTACTAGATCATGATATTAGTTTCAGCACCCTCACAAGTCAAGGAACAATTCTTCCCAACTCAAGGCACTGAGGTAAAAAAAAAAACAACCCACAAAACCTTCTTCATTCTATGCCACATGGTTTCCTTAAAAAAAAAAAAAAGTCACTGCTGTCAGATTTTAACTCACAGCAGTTTTAACAGGCCAGCTGTTCCACGAGAGAAGTATGAAGTAGTCTGCTCCTGAAAAGAGTTACGCAGAAAGACTGCGATGCCTCTCCTCTGGTCTATGGGGTCTCTACAACGTGGTCTCATAGGCGGCCCTCTCATTCAAAGCTGAAGAGATGTAACTTCAAGGCCAAATGTGGGCTTCTGCTCTCAAGCTCAGTACCTAGGGGGTAATCTGGAGAGGCTAGAAGCTAACAGACAAGTGAAGGGACAGCCATAGAGGCCAGTGCCTCACTATCCTGGCTTTAGAACCTTCAGAACATCTGATGGCACCAAGAATTCAAAGACTAGAGAGGGAGTAATTTACAGCAACTACCATTATTTACCAAATTCAAGTCAGTTACTAATTAGCTTGCTTGATGTCAGGCTCAGTGATCCCAGCGGTCCATTCCGTTTAGCCTCACTGTGAACATTAGGCCTCCTGTCTTCATCAATCAGGCTAATTATAATTACTGGGTTATACGTGTGTGTTGAGGGGGAAGGGCAGGCAAAGCTGGCCTTAGGTACCGATCAGACCCTGGTAATGGGCCGGAAGTGTCAGAGGAGGCCACATGCTTTGCCTGTAGGTTCCAGCCATGTGGGGTAGTGAATCCATCCGAGTACAGGCCTCTGTGGGCCACTCAGGGTTCTGTGCACAACTTGCCTGCGTTCTTTTCCAGACCTGTCATCATGGCCCACCGATTCCCAGCCCTCACCCCAGAGCAGAAGAAGGAGCTCTCAGAAATTGCCCAGCGCATTGTTGTAAATGGCAAGGGGATCCTGGCTGCAGATGAGTCTGTAGGTGAGTGTAAAACACAGTCACAACACACAACAAGGATCCTCTGTCTCCACCCTTAGCAAAAGCAATGTGGTAATTACCTCCACCATGGATGCCTCCACGCTGGGCATTTCCCACCCAGCAGCCAGGCAGAAACTAAGGCTTTTCCACCCAGGAACAGCAGAAAGAGGCAGAAGCTTTGTTAATCTGAGTCGGGGAATGGAGGGAGGGAAGTTCACCTTCTGTGATTAAAAAAAACCAAAAAAAAGTTTTGTTTGGTCCAATGGTGGGGGTCAATGAGTAGTATGGAGGCGGGAGAACGGAAAACCCCACTTGACCTTGTACTGTCTTTGAACCACTCACCTCAGGCACCATGGGAAACCGCCTGCAGAGGATCAAGGTGGAGAACACGGAGGAGAACCGCCGGCAGTTCCGAGAAATCCTCTTCACCGTGGACAACTCCGTCAACCAGAGCATCGGGGGTGTGATTCTCTTCCACGAGACCCTCTATCAGAAGGACAGCCAGGGAAAGCTGTTCAGAACCATCCTGAAGGAAAAGGGCATCGTGGTGGGGATCAAGGTGAATACTTCAGGCGCCGCCCTCCAGCAAGCTCGGGGCACGCTGGCGGGCAAGGCCCAACCCTTGTCATCTGAGCGCCTTCATGCTTCTCTTCTCTATCCTCTCCTTTCAGTCAAGTAATCTCTCAGCATCTCACTTTCCTCATTTCTAAAGCGGTAATACTACTACTCAATGTACAGCTTCCTTGTATGGACTAAATAAGTTTTACAAATAGGTCCTGCCACATAATCATTTAATTAAAAATAGCTAGTATTATTAAAGCACAGTTCTACCTTGCAGCTAAAACTACATAAACTTCAGCACATAACTGCTGCTACAATACAGATGTCTCAAAAGTGAACATTCAGATTTGGTGCATGCACATAATGCCAAGTACTCAGGAAGCAGGCTCAATTATTGACCTTACTGTAGAGATGAGATGAAAATATCAAGCTCCTAGAGGTGACATGGTCAGTGAAAGGGGCAGCCGGTTTAAACCAAGACTTTGAAACTCTTAGCACCATTGTTAAGGATCTGCAGCATTACTGTCTGGACATCTTGTAATGAAATACAAGTCAGAAAACTCAAATTCACTTCCATCCGCACATAGTGACCCTGAACGATAGAGCAGAACTCCCTATCAAGTTCTGATTATGTAAATCTCAATGAGGTGAGATGGTCTATCTTTCTCCTGCTGTGCTGCTGGTGGATTTGAACTGCTGAAGGAGCTCAGCCTTTTGGCTAGCAGTGCAACTCGTCACCAGAGCTCCTTGTAACAGCCCAGAGTCTGGTATGTGCAGCAGCTCAGTAACTATCTCTTGAGTAAATGAATAAACGTCCCAAAGAATGCTGCTCTTATTCTGTGCTTGCATCCCAGGTTCTGTCCAAAGTACAGCTGCTTACAGTCTAAGCTCTAAACCAGAGTTTGCATATTCTCTGGGTTGAGCCTCTTATACTGTTTATTCAAGGTAACTTCAGCTTCATTTCAATTACTGGTTTTGTGAAAGATGAGAACTCTCAGCACCACGAGCTCTGCCTGTTTCATTTGACATCTAACATGTACTAATTGCTTGTGAACGATTTGTTTTCAGTTAGACCAAGGAGCTGCTCCCCTTGCAGGAACAAACAAAGAAACCACTATTCAAGGTAAGGATACTGCTTGTGTTTAAGTCATGTCCACAGATGCTAGAAATGAAGGGAGCAACGTGAGGAAGGGAAAACAAAATGTGATTTTACTCCAGCTTTAGAGCCATATAAACACCTGGTGATGCTAGATGTGTGTAGCTTTCAGGAACCATTTGGGCGCTCTGTGTCTCAGCTCTCTTACCTGAAAAACAGGATGCAGTTATTCATGTGCAATAAATTAGATAAAGTACAAGAAGAGTGTATCATCATACTTGCTCAAAGAGTATGTGCTGTTCCTAACACTATTATTTCTAGAGAAAAATCCAGCAGCAGTGGAAAGGAAATATCCCAGGCATTGAGTTCAGAAATACATGGGTTTGAATCCTAGTTCTATCATTTACAACTTAAACCATTTTGTAGAATACTTCACTGATCATGATGACCACTGTTAATACAATCTGTGTTAGTTAAATAGAATTTTAATGCCAACTTTATCACCCTTTAACCATATACATCTAGTAAAGTTACTTAATTGCTCAAAATCTTGTTTTACATACCTGTAAAATGAGTGTAATATTAACTGTTTCGATTGTTATGATAATTAAGAGATGAGGTATAAAAAAATGCCTAGAATCATGCTTAGAACAAGGAAAGCACAAAGAAAAGAAAAATACTAGTTTCCCCTGTTCTACTTATGTACCGCAAAGGCGTGTTTATTCCATCCAGGTCTCCTGGCCCAGTATTACGAGCAATATTTATTGGCTTGGATGTTTTCCATGTTCACGCTCTGCAGGAAGTTATGAGAGAGCCTTCACCACAGCAGAGGCCAGATGAAGCAGGGACAGGCCTCAGAGGAGCTTTTCTTTCTTTTGTCACTTGCAGGGCTTGATGGCCTCTCTGAGCGCTGTGCACAGTACAAGAAGGATGGTGCTGACTTTGGGAAGTGGCGTGCTGTGCTGAGAATTGATGACCAGTGTCCATCCAATCTCGCAATCCAGGAGAATGCCAATGCCCTGGCCCGCTACGCCAGCATCTGCCAGCAGGTGCTCTGACTTCCCCTTGGGCTAAAACACCTGCAGACTAGTGCTTTTCTTTGGAGTCTCTCAAAATTCATTGTCATTGAGGCAGAACTGACCTTCCAGCAGTTTTTTTTTTTTTTGGAGCTGTAAATCCCATAGGAAAAGATTGCCCATCTTTCTCCCAGGAACCACTGGGGATTCGAACCACCAGTAAGGTGCCATTGGAGTTCCTAGATGATGTATATAGTTAAGTACTTGGCTTCTAATGGAAGTTAGTGGTTTGAATCCACACAGAGGGTCCTCACCACCAACCATTAAAACCCTAGAAAGAACAGTTCTACTCTGATGCATATGGAGTCTCCATATCAGTCAGCTCAGCAGTATCTGTGCTGGACTGGCATATTTCCTTCGCAGTCTTTCTTTGTGATTTTACTGTCATCCCACATAAGTCCTCCTCTTACTTCTCCATTGTATCCTGATGGCATTTTTCATTCGTTTTGCTTTAGTCAGGTAGGATAGGAAAAGCCATGGTCACACAAGCCAGAGGAGTTGCAAAAAGCCATGAGCAAAAGTTCAAAGTCAACAGTCAAATCATTATGAAGCTGAGTGTTGAAAGCAATCAGGTCCTTGAGATCAGGACTGTTGCATTGCTAGGTTCCACAAAGTCCCAGACATGATCCTTGCAAACCCCCAGCCGAAGGACAGTTCTGATCTAGTCCCAATCCAAACACTTTTTTAAAAAAATTTTTATTATTTTGTGTGTGTGTACCATCAAATCAGATCTGACTGGTACTGGAGGAGACTGCCCCTCCTTCTCCAGCAGAGCATCTGATGGTTTCGAACCTTGCACCTCTAGGATTGCAGTGCAGCTTCTTGCCACTAGCAAACACTTTCTAAGAGGACAGTGATTTAAGGCCAGAGGTTTTCAAGATGTGCTGAAAAGTCTGGGAATCCAGTGAAATCTCATGTTCTTCTGTGTTAACTACAGAGAGGTTACTGGGATTGTGGTAATCTGAGATGTCCAATTAGAAATATATTTTTGTTGTTAGATTTAAGATGTAAGACTCGTAGCAACCCTATGAACAATAGACTGGAAAACTTGCCCCATCCTGGGATGTCCTACTGACTCTGCCATGTTCCAGCTCACTGTTCAAGTCATTGGAACATCTCATCTGAGAGTCTTCCTTTCTTTCTCTGACCCTCTTCCTTTCCCAGCATGTTTTATCCCAAGCACTCGTCCCTCCTGTATCTCGCCTCAAAGTATCTGAAACCAAGCTTCTCCATCTTTACCTCTAAGGAGCACCCTGGTTGCACTTTCCTTCAGGACAGATTTGTTTGTTCTTTTAGCAACCCACAGTATATAGAATACTCTTTGCCAACACTGTGGTCCAAAGACATAAAGTCTTCAGCATTCCTTATTAATTGCCCGACTTTCAGATGCATAGGAAGCAGTTGAAGATAACCTGGCTCGTCTCAGACACACCTTAGACATCCTTAAACTGACATCCTTGCTTGTTTACACTTTGGTGAAGTTCTTGACAGAAGATTTTCTTAACAGCAACCCATGTTCTGATTTCCTGACTGCTTCTACCATAGTGTTGCATCTGAGTAAAATGAAATCTTTGGCAACTTCAATCTTTTCTCCATCTAACATGATGTTGCCTATTGATCCAGTTGTAAGAGTTTGTGTATGAGCACTGCTCAAAAATCTTAATCAGCTCACACAAGGGAGAATCTTAGTGATTTAAGTGAGGTTCTGGGTAACTGGAGTAGTCTTTAGAGTAAAATACGGTGATATAGGATATTAAGCTTTATTCCCTTTAATTTCATTTTTTAAATAACTGTTCTTGCCTCATATTTTTCTGTTTTTGGTTTGTTTTTTTTTTTTTGTTTGTTTGTTTCCTCTAACCCGCAAATGCTCACTGGACAGCCCACCAATTTTTCCCCCACCACTTTTGGGTCACCTATGGAACATTTCTCCACAAAGACGTCATTTTCTATGAATTGTGATTGCAAACTTTTCTGCAAAGGAAAGGCTAATAGCGAACACAGCTTTACTTTGCCCTCCCCTCCTTTTTGTCTTTTTCAGAATGGGTTGGTACCCATTGTTGAACCAGAGGTCATTCCTGATGGAAGTCATGACCTGGAGCACTGCCAGTATGTTACCGAGAAGGTAAGTCTTGAATGGAAAGACCAAAAGTCTAGTTGAAAAGCCTTGTTTCTAAGTCGAAGCTGTTTTGATTAGTCTATATCAGGCATATTCTTCAAGTTAAGAGTTATTATGTAGCATTGAGGAATTAAGAAAGCATTTCTAAATCTGTGCTTTTCTGGTACATGATATACTGCTTATGGATTAAGAATAGAATTTTTTTTCCCCTGTACTAAAACTTGGCTTGTAGGGATTTAGGTGAGTCACATTACTTTCTGGATCTTAGTTTCATTATAGTAAGCTATAAAGTTTTAAAATAAGATCTTAAGTTCACATGAAGAAAAATTATAAAGTAGTTCGCTTACATCAGATTTTCTGAATTTGCCCAGAATGCCAAAACCAGAGTGGTTCTTCTTATATACTGTGAATAACAAATCAGAAAGTAGCTTGACCTGATTTCTTCCTTGCAAATGTAGAAGGGCTAAAATGATCTCTTAACGTACTCTGTCTCTAAACCGTATGTTTTTTAATGGCATCTCTGTGGGGTGCAGAGTGGAAGCTAGGTTAGACCTTCCCAATGAAACCTGTGAAATCTCACAAGGAAGTGGATGAGATGCCACTGTGGAAGGCAGTTTAGTGTTTCCTAAAAAAGATTAATCTGGAAATCCCATATGACCTAGATATTCCACTGCTAGGAATATATCCCAAGGAAAATAGAACTGAGACACAAGTGGAGATTGCACACTGATGTTCACAGCAGCGTTATTCACAATAGCAAGAACATGGGAACAGCCCAAATATCTATCAAATTAATGGATTGAGAAACTGTTGGACTTTCACATGATGGAATACTATCCAGTACTAAGGAGAAACAATTTAAAAAATACTGTAAAACCTAGGACAGGCAAGAGTGCATTATGCTGAGTGAAATAACTCAGCCTCATAAGGACAAATACTGCATAAGATCATTATTGTGAAAATTGAAGGATAGCTAGTAAACTGTGTATAAATGTCCAAAGACATCATTTATCTTTGGAGAGGGCAGGAGGGCTTAGGGTGGGGAAGGAAAAGTCATGGGGGTGCAGTGTTTGGTGGGCAGAGGATTGGAATGGAGGAGCTAGGAAAGAGGCAATGGAATCTCTCTGAAAAAGATGGATTAATAGTGGACATACATCAATGGTGATTAATTTTCTAAGACACAGTATATGGGAATGATCATATGAAATACAATGTGAATGAAGGAATGTATCAAATACAATGTATATGAATTCTAAAAACTTTAAAAAAGTAAAAAAAAATTAAAAATTTTATAGACTATTAAAAAAAAAGAGGTGGAATTAGCCAAAGGGAGTGAAAGGAAAGAAGGGGAGAGTCTTTAGGAAGTAGGGCCACGCCAACAAGCCCACGCAATAAGGCAGCTAGCACAGGGATGGCAGGGATGATCCAGCATGGCCGTGCTCAATGGTCATGGTTTCTACTGCTCTGCCTGCTGAAGTCTCATGACTAGTTGGGAAACACTGGCTAAACAACACTATCTGGGCATCCTTGTAGTGTAGGAATGCTAAAGTAATGGGACTCAATGATTAGCTCTAAATTTCAGTTGTTTGAACCTCTTGTGCCTGACTTAGGTCCTGGCTGCCGTGTACAAGGCCTTGAATGACCATCATGTTTACCTGGAGGGCACCCTGCTTAAGCCAAACATGGTGACTGCTGGACACGCCTGCACTAAGAAGTATACCCCAGAGCAAGTGGCTATGGCCACCGTCACAGCCCTCCACCGCACCGTCCCTGCAGCTGTCCCTGGTAAGGCCACCAGCCTTCTCCAGGCTTAAGTACCAGTTCTTACCTTTTGAAGGCGTGCCACAAGCACCTTTTTCTCCGGGATCCAGCTTCTGTCCATGAAGTAGACCATCTGACAGACTGTCGACACTGCCCCCTCACTCAGTGATAGGCTGTCCTAAGTGCATCCAAATGCATACAGATCCATTTCCACAAACTATGACTGCCCTCCTTGTTCATGACAGTCCTTCTTTTCTCAGCTCAACTATCTCCAGCAAAAGCAAACTCACTTTCCTGATCAAGAACACCTTGCATATCAAGTGAAAAAAGAGACTGAGACAAGACTGTTGGTTTTGATTCATTACTCGCTTTCTCAGGCTGGGTAAATGAGCTAAGACTAGTTGAATGAAATTACTTCTTTCCTTCTAGGCATCTGCTTCTTGTCTGGGGGCATGAGTGAAGAGGATGCGACTCTCAACCTCAATGCTATCAACCTTTGCCCTCTACCAAAGCCCTGGAAACTAAGCTTCTCCTATGGACGGGCACTGCAGGCCAGCGCACTTGCTGCTTGGGGTGGAAAAGCTGCCAACAAGAAGGCCACCCAGGATGCCTTTATGAAGCGGGCCCTGGTGAGATGCCATGCTACTATCTCTTATGAGCCTGGTTAAGTTAACACAAACTAAATCTCCCACATAGGGATCCAGTGATTTTTTTTTCTAGTCATAAAAGTATTTTCAGACAGACTCTACAGGGTATTTGAAAATAAGAACTAACATTAGAACACAGAGGAAATATTAGGGCAAGAGAGAGTTTTGAGTTATCCACATTGAGGGAATAGTTGATAACAGTAGATTAAGGGACAATTCGAACAAAGATGTGGTAGGAGGAAAATATTAAGGAGTGAACCTGTGATACCATTTTTTGAGACTAAGAGAATCCTCTGAGAAAAACAGTAATAATATGAGAGGATAAATCAAAGATTTTAGGGAGAAACAGAAAAAAGTTTAAGGAATTTTCTGTGGAGAGATTAAAAATGAAGGCTGAGAAAAGATTGCTGAGATTCGTGTTTACAAGCATCTCCATGGGTCTCAACAGTTTCAAGAGGGATAAGAAAAAAGAAGACTGTCAGGAAATAACCCAAAAGGTTAACAGGATAAATAAGTAAAAAAAGAAAAGATTGTATTCAATTATAAAGCATTACTTTCTGAAAACCTGCTATCCACCAAACTATGGGGTAAACACAGATATAATCTTTGTCATTAGAGAGCTTAGAGCTTTGAAATAAACTTGACATGTTTCAATATAAAAACAAAGAGTAAATAAAGGTGAGGAAAGTGGACATAATGGGAGGGATAAGGGCTTAAAAGACTAAAAATGACAGTTCATAAAACTATCAAATAGATTTATTAGAGTTGGTCTTAGAAAGGAGGGAAGGAAAAAAGAAAGAATTCATTGGGAATGAATGCTGTAGAGGTGAGGAGATGCAGCAGTTCAACCCTTATTACAGTGAATGACGGGAATCTGAGGAATACAAAGATGTGCAGATTTCAACCTTACACTGGGAGAGGATTGAGAAGCTGCTGAAGGAGTCACCTGAGAAACTGACAAAATGCTATAGACAGGCATCCTTGCCAGGCACAAGGGAAGTTGCAGCTGAGATGAATTCCTGAATTTTCCTAACAGTTACTTAAAGCATGCAGAAAGAGTCAGATAAACCTGAACAGGAAATAGGAGAATTGTGAGTAAAAATTTAATGCAGAAATTGAAGAATATGGAATTTTAGTGTTAGTGCCATTTCACTTAGAGGTTAGTGTAGTCACAAGTTTGGCAATGAGGCAAAAAAAGGACAGAAGGGACCCAGGGAGGCTCAAAAAGCTGTCAAGGTCATAGAAGAAGCATGCAATTTTAGAGAAGGAATTTGGTTGAAGGAAGACATTATAAAAAAGTTGTTTACCTGTGTTTTACTGACCATGCAAAGGCATTTGACTGTATGGATCATAAAAAATTATGGGTATGACATTGAGAAGAATGGAAATTCTAGAACACTTGGTTATGTTTGTACAGAAGTTATATATAAACCAAGAAGTACCTGTTTAAAAAGAACAAGGGGATATTGCATGAAAAGCGAAGAGTGTCAAGAACAAAGCTTGGGCTGAATCTATCTTCTCTTTCTCCCTTACTTTTCAGGCTAACTGCCAAGCAGCCAAGGGACAGTATGTCCACACAGGTTCCTCCGGAGGTGCTTCCAGTCAGTCACTCTTCACTGCCTGCTATACCTACTAGGACTTGTGGTGGCCAGCCTTGTTCTAGCTCTTCTAGATGGCCTGGTCAGAAGGCTGGAAAAAAAAAACAAACCCAAAACCCAAAACCAAGTACCTTTCCACTGACTCTGAAAATGAGACAAATTTAGATCAGAGCGACTGGAGACACATTTATGTATTCTATACAAGAAAAAAAATAAATTCTTCAAATATAAAAGCACAAAAGTTTCATGTAACTCGTCTTTGTGACACTTCTAGCTCCCCACTGCCCAGAGTATGCATTAAAAGACAAGAACAGATTTTAAAACAAAATCAGTTCTCCATGCACATGACAACCACCAAGTAAAACATCTCAAAAGCTGACTACAGAGTAGAATATCTTATTAAAAGTCTTGGGAGTAAAAGATGATACAGAGAGCTGTAACTGAAATAGGAAATATTTCATATGCCATTAGTTGGTATCAGGTTTTATTTTTCTGCTTTTTTTTCAAAGGGCTCAGGATAGTTCATTATTGTTTCCTGCACTAGATATGACTGACATTAATGGTCCAGTTCCTTATCATTGGCTACTCACTGCAATTACGTGGCAACATTTTTAAGACCCAGATGTTTAGGCCACATTCCAGCTCAGTTAAATCAAAGACTCTAGATAGCTAATTTCTTCAAAATATTAGGGTTTGTTAAGGCCTTTTTGGTGATCCCAGTGCTCAGTCAAATTTGAGAACTACCAATTAATATTTCAACTTAAGAATATTTTACTATTAAAACCACCCATAATATGAAACAAGCTAAAACATAGCATGATTATGAGAGATATGTGGAGCATAATAAAGAAGAATCAGTGTGGTTTGCAACATTTCTCTACAAGTGGTGCAATTCTCACTGGTTGAGTATGAGTTTATTATAATCAAAGCTAAGGTATTTAATTTATATCTATTAGTCGAGGCTGAATTATGTTTCACTAGGGGTGAGAAAGGAGCCCTGGTGGAGTGTTTAGTCGAGCTGCCATCTGAAGGACTGACAGTTCAAACACACTATCTGCGAGGTGGAATCAATTCAATGGCAGAGGATTTTGGGGTAAGGGGTGAAAATTTAAATAGTACTGTTTGGTATCAACTAATACATTTTCTGGATTAAAGGACTATAGTTGCCTTTGTGATTTTACCCTCAATAATTTCTTCTACTCAGAGGAATGTAAAGACTAGTTGGGAGTCTACAGACACCAAACTTCTATTAACTATATTAACATCTATCAAGAGTGAATATATTACTGATGTCCTAGTCTTGCGTACTTTGTCAGATTTATCCGAGTAGTTATTGGATACTTACCCAAAATAAAACCAGGTACTAGGCACTGAAAGTAATAAAGAGACATTTCTGCGTTAGCAGGGCAGCTTTAGGATCTGTATACTAAGCAAACTGTGCTGTAATCCCGAAAGAATGTGGTTCGAATCCACCATCCCTCAGGAGAGGGATGGGCAATCTCCTCCCATGTGGTTAAATACCTCAGAAAACCCACTACAGGATCAGCTATGAGTCAGTTCCAACTGAACAGTACACAACAAGAAGAGATGTAAAAGTAACTGAGAATAGGGAAGAAGAGCTTAGTCAGTTCAACAGGGGCACAGAAAGGGAGGAGGTGGTCAACAGAGGATCACAGAAAGGCAGAGATTGCTCGGAAGCTGCCTTAGTGCTATTGTGTACTGTTGAGTCGGAACCAACCCATAGCTGACCCTCCAGCAGGTTTTCAGAGGCAGTTAATCGCACAGGAGATTGTCATTATGCTCTTCAAGGGCAGGTGGTGGGTTTGAACTGTGTCTTTGAGATTGCAGCACAAAAACAATTTTTATGCCAGTGGGAGTGAAAAATACCTTGAAAGTGCAATTAATAAGAGCTAAGTCCACAAAATGAAATATTAAATGCTGAGAAGAATAAAACAAAGGAATTTCTTTTTTCCTCTGAAGGAAGAGAAGAATGGAAGGAAGAGGTGGAGAAATAAAGTTACTGTTGTTGTTACGTGCCATCGAGTATGATTTAGCAATCAAATGAACAACAGATCTGAACCCTGTCCTATACTGTGCCATCCAATCTCTGACATACTTGAGCCCAGAGTTACAGGGGCTGTGTCAATCCATCTGGATCTTTCCCTCTTTGACCACTCTCTACCTTTACAAGCATCATTTCCTTTCCAAGAAATAGCCTCTCCTAGTAACATGCCCAAAGTATGTGAGACGAAGCTTTATCACCTTTGCCTCCAAGGAGCACTCTCACTGGGACATTCTCCAAGATCTATCTGTTCATTCTTTTGGAAGTCCATGGGACGTTCAGTGCTCTTCTCAGATAGTACAACTCAAAGGCATCAACTCTTTTTCTGTCATCCTTATTCATTGTTGAGCTCTCAGATGCATAGCAAGTAGTTGAAAAACCCTGGCCCGAATGAGACACACCTTAGTCTTCAAGCTGATACCATTGCTTTTTAGCACTTTGGAGAGGTCCGACAGCAGACTTTCCCAATGCAATGTGTCTCCTGATCCTCTAGTTGCTGATACCAAGGACATTGGTGGTGGGTCAAAGTAAGATGAAATAATTGGCAATTTCAACCTTTTCTCCATCTATCATGATGTTGCTTATTGGTACAGAAGTGAGGATTTTTGTCTTCTTGCTAATGAAATTCAATCAATATTGAAAGCTATAGATTTTTATCTTCTGAAGCAAAGACAAATATTGTGTAATCCAGTAGGCTAAGACTCTGTTTGCTGATGATTTGAACTTAATAGGGTTCATAAATGTCTCTTTACTGAGGTTTGACCTATAGACCTGGAACTTTCCAGTCTATAGAAGTAGAGGGGACATATCTATATAGATACACAGATATGATCTACAACATTGATATGTTAGAAATTTTTTGTTAGGTGCTACTCAGTCAGAACCTACTCCAATAGCCGACCCTCCAACAGTTTTTCAGAGGCTGTAAATTGCATGGGTGGAGATATTCCATCTTCTTCCTGTGGAACATCTGGTGGATTTGAACAATGCAAATACCACTAGGCCACCAAAGCTCCTTAAATACACACACATGTATATACACACACATACATGCATATTGTTGTTACGTGCCATTGAGTCACTTGAGACTCACAGTGACCCTATAATAGCCCTAAACCCTGCTCTACCCCTTGCCAATCTTATTGTCTCTGATACACCTATCCCCATTACCCCAGTGACTGAAATCAATCCATCTCGAGGATCTTCCTCTCCTGCACTGTCCCTCCACCCTCCCAAGCATGACGTCCCTCTCCAAGGACTGATCCCACCTTGCAACATGTCCAAAGTGTGTCAGATGAAGCTTCAGAATCCTTGTTTTCAAGGAACAGCCTGTCTTCACCCTCTACAGGATGAACTTGTTATAGTAATACATGGTATATTCAATACTTTTCTCCAACACCACAGCTTAAAGGCATCAACTCTCCTTTCATCCCTAGTCATTGTCCAGCTTTCTGTTGCATAGCAAGTAATTGCAAAGACCATGGCCTGTATCAGGTGCACCTTAGTCTCCAGAGTGACATCATTGCTCTTCAGTACTTTGGAAAGGTCTCTGACAGCACACTTTCCCAATGCAATTCATCTTTTAATTTCCTGGCTGCTGGTACCAAGAGTGTTGATTGTAGAGTCAAGCAAACTGAAACTGTCAACAATCAATCTCTTCACCATTTATCATGATGCTGCCAATTCGCCCAGTAGTGAGAATCTTTGTTTTCTTGATGTTGAGCTTCAATTCATATTGAAGGCTGCAGCCCTTGACCTTCTGCAGCAAGCACTTCATGTCCTCTTGTTTCATCAAGCAGGGTTGTGTCATCAGCAGAACACAGGGTGTTGATGAGTCTACCTCCAATCCTGATGTTATATAGAGCCTACCCTCCCGGATATATGTATTTATGCATGCATGTATGTATGTGTATATATGCTACATAACAACAACATAACTATCTCTATATATTTATAAAATAAATAATGTGGTACATTGGTTTTGCTTCTCTAGAGAATCCAGCTGAAGACAGGCATTGATGGTGGACCTGAGTAGTATAAAATCACTGACAATGTTAATATTGTTAATATTCTGCGTGACAGCTCTGGTTTCTTTAGAGTATATTCCTAGTAGTAGTATTGCTGTGTCAGATGTTATTTCTATTTCCAACTTTTTGAGAAAGCCCTGTATCACCTTCCATAGTGGTTACACCATTTTACACTCCCACCAGCAGTAAGCGTTCCAATCATCTCTCCAATATCTCTCCAGCATTTGTTGTTTTCTTCTCTGTTGAACTTTGTTATTGTTGCTGAGTTATCTCATGGTTGTTTTTATTTGTAACTCTCTGATAGCTATAGATCTTGAACATTTCTTTATATGTTTGTTTGCCATCCGAATGTCTTTGGTGAAATGTCTATTAATATCCTGTGAACATTTTGTGATTGGGCTATTTACATGTTTTAAAATTGAGATGCTGGAGTATTCTATAAATTTTAGATATGTGTCCTTTAACAGATATGTCCTAGCCAAATATTTTTCCCAGTCTGTGAGTTTCCTTTTTACCATGTTGGAGAAGTTTTGTTTGTTGTTTTTTTTTTTGGAGAAGTTTTTTTTATGTGCAAAGTGATTTGATTCTTAGGACTCATTCATCTACTTTATTTTTTCCTGATTGTTAAAGCTTTACTTATTAACAATGCTTTCACTGTACTTTGTATCTTGGAATTTTTCTTTTAGCATCATTGGTTCTTGATCAGATGCTACCTCCTGAAGTGATTGAGCATCAATCAATTTATTTTTTTTTGGCACAGGGATGCATTATATTCCTTCTATCTTTTGATGCTTCATGTCATTCAATAATTTGCCCATAGAATGCTTCAGAATTGCAATTTGAGGTTTAAATTTGTTCTTCAGTTATTTCAACTTGAGAAATGCTGAGAGTGTTATTTCTTTTTGGTGTTATAACTCCAGATTGTTGCACATTTCATTTTAACACTGTC